ACATTATACCGGGCTTCAGCGGCAGCTCTGAATGCCTTTCCTTATCCCCTCACTGGGCTCTGTTTTGGAAGGAAGGAGGGAAGACAGAGCTATTTTTATAGCATCTAGGCTCTCCCCAGACTGCATCTCACTTGCTATTGTTGGTCAATGATCTTTCAATTACCTACTACACTCGGGACTTTGCTCTGTTCTTGCAAAAAAGGGCTGATGTATTCAACACGCTCTTTCCAAAGACCAGGCTGGAATGGGACGATTAGGCTACGCAGAAGAGTCACTCACAAACAAAGCTTTTTTTTAATAAATATCAGAGTTTGAAAGTGCAGTTGGCTTTTTTTTTTTTTTCCCTGCAGCAAATTTGCCATTCTGTGGTAGTTTTCAAAAAATACCTGTCGGAGATGGCATGCTGAAGTGATTTTTCTGTTCCCAAGAAGCGTGAGTTACATTCTTTTGACTTTTTTTTTTTCTTTTTCCTCCTTACTCTTCATACAATACCCTGATTTTTGTTATGAAGCTAGAGGTTATCTCAAAATATGCCAGGATTTCAGAGGAGTGGCTTTAAAGAGATTATGGATCTGGGCTGGGAGCCACACTTTCCAGGTTTGGACCTCACTTTAGTCCCTAGTCTATACAAATCGACATTTTCCCAAACAGACAGTCTGTTTTCATAGTTACCCAACTTGAGGCAATCAGATGCTGGTCTTCAGAGCCTGCGCATCTTCCCACTAAAATCAGATGGAGATATATGGGTCAAATATTTCCATGGAGCTCTTTCAAGACACAAACTGAAAACAGAAAACCTACAAGAAAAACAGAAGCAGAGCAGATATACTGCGAGTAACTTGGCCGCTGCCATGCTTTTTGCTGAACCTGGATTGATTCAGCAGCCTTTGCAGTGCTATAGAATTGTACAGTATGAAATACTGTTTCTTTTGAATTAGATATCAAACCAAGGTCCTAACATTTGTAATCACTAGAGCTCTTGCAGGGCTCTGCACAGAGACCAGTGATATAACCCTAGTCTATGTGGGGGTGTTACCATCTCACTAACCACCATTTCCACAATTACCTTTGTAAGAGTGTACTGTTCTTTATTTTCTCTCCTAATTTCTGCAGTTCCAATCAAGTTTTATTATTAGTTTCCTCCTACCCTAAAAATGAAGGACCTAAAGCAACTGTGCAGATGCAGGTGTTTTTCAGCTATTCGTCATTCCCATGCCTGCAAATCTATCAGACCTTTGTTCCTCGCAGCACTTCGGTTACTATATTTCATTCCTTATTAAGCGTATTTTTGAAGGACCTTTGGTCATTACATCCACGTCTAAATGAAGGAAAACAAGAGGTCAAACTAGACTGCTAGCAAACTCTGAGTTTATGCCTAAATGTGCTTAATAATTGGATGTGTGTTGTCAAACGTGCTCACGCCAGGATTTCCAGGTGGGTGGGTAGAAAATAGAAAGTTCCTGTGCTTACTCCTGCTGCCCTGACACTTGTATCAGCTGGGAACCTTCACTGGAAAAGCTCCTTATTTGCATGAGAGAAGGAGGACTTGTGCTGGCCTGAGGTCTGGGACATGATCACAGAAACCAAAAGAAAACAAGGGTGAGTTGTTTGCAGGAAGTCTGAATTCTGGAGAGGGAAAAAAATAAAACCACGAAGCAAGCCCTTCAAACGACCCAGAGAGTGTTTTGAAGGAAGATCACGTGGCAGTCATTAAGCTTAGGGTTGGGTCACGCACCTCCCTAGGCAGCGACTGAGCACCTCAAGTAAAGGTATTTTGGTCTGGGCCCCATCCCGTTCAAACTCAGACTTCACCAGTGCTGCAGAGGTCAAGCCCCAGGGAAGAGGAGCTTTGGAGAAAACGGGTTTTTGTTTTGAGTCATCTCAGTTGCTTGGCCTGAAGTTGCGTTTTATGAGAAAAACTTTAGTGCTACGTGTGAGATGCTTGTTTTGTTTTGTTTTTCCCCAACAGCAGTAATTTCTTTCTTGCTATTTTCTTCAGCCCGGGAAGGCGAGGAATTGCTGGTGAGGTGCAAGAAATGATCTCAGTGCTGGATGGCAGGACATCCTTTTCCTTCCTCCCGCTGTTTGTAGAGCAAGGAGGATGTTTTGGATGGGCAGCAAGGACTCGCTGCTGGAACCAGACTACACCGTGTCATCTGGATACAAGACGGGCAGCTGGAAGGACCTGCAATGGAAGAGATGGGGCTGGGAGATGCTGAGGATTTGGGAACGCGGGCAGAGGTTGCAATGGGTGGAAACAGCAGGCTGGGTGAGGAACAGAAAAAGTGGCGATGCTGGGTTATGAGCTAATTGGAAATAGCTGTTTCCAGGCCCTTGGGAAAGGAGTTATTTCTGGAGTTTAGGGCTCCTGTGAAATAGCTCATCTCAACGGAAGGAAAAAAGCATGTATAATTCAGCATTATGGTTATGGCTTCATGTGATTTTTGACCCCAGATACCATCATGACTTGATCCATTTTGAGTCGTGCAGATAAACAGACCAAGCAACTAACTCCATTGTTTACACCCCCGTGATACCCAGCTCAGCCGTGACTCAGCCGTCAGTAATGATGTTCTGACCTTATTAATATCAATGGGAGTCTTCTTAACGAGGACATAATTTCACCCCAGAGGCCAATTCATTAATTAGCATCTCCAGCTATCCTGTCATTGGGCATATGAAGAGGGTACTAACTTGACTTATATACTGAGCAAATATGTGCTGAGTAAATATGCATTTAATTGCACATATAATGACAACATATAGGGCCATAAAAGTTTGGCAGAAGGAGTGAAAAGAGGCGAGTGTAGTTCCTCACTCCAAACGTAATTCAGTGCTGGTGATACTTGCTCATTGTAGAATCTTATCTGAAATCAATGTCCAAAGAAATGCTTGCTTAATAATTAGTTGTCGATGTCACGTGCTCCATGAAGTTGTGCGAGAGTCACTTAAGTGCTGTGCTGAGGTCATTAATTTTTTTAGCCGTGATACCCGGGATTCTTCCATCCCTCAATGCAATCCCCTTACTATGTGTGGTTTGCAAAAACACCATTGTTTGTTGCGCCTGTTGCGAGGAAAGGGTGTTTTAATCATCCCAGTACGACTATTCTGAAATATTTCTGTTTTCGGAAATAAAAATAGCCTAGCCTGCACTCTGGGCTAACCTAATTCCTCCCCTTCCAAACTGTATTTTCATGTCAGAAAGCTGCCTGCTAATAAAAAAAACCCAAAAAGGATCATTTTTGAACATTCTTTGCATGTTAAAACTGAACAGACTAAACTTAATTTAACAATAATGATCTCCCACGGTTAATGTTTCATGCAGACAGCAACAGGGCACAGTGTGATCGCTAACAAGGTCAGGAGAGGATTTCTTCTATTGTGCAATATTCACGGATGTTAGTCTTCTCTGAAATATTCAAGATTGGCCACTGGCAGCTGATGAATGCTTTATTAGCTGGACTATTGGCTTGTCATGATGCGAGAACTCTCTCTCCCTACTCTTTTTTGCTGGATGAACTTTCTTAACTCTTCGTTTCAGAGAGTTAAAGTTTGCTTGATAAAAACCAACGAACCAACCACTGCACAAGTCTGATTATTTTAGTTATTTGGTAGAAAACTTTTTGATTTACCAATTTTAAGGAAAAACGATCGGAATAAGGGTGGGGAGAGATATAAGGAGAGATGGCATCTTGTATTTTTCCACCTAGCTGGAAAAAAACCCACACAAATTGTTGAGCTCATGAGCAGTTCTTCAAGTCTGACACTGATGCAGAGAAGTTCAACTGAAGTCCAGGATGGGAACAATTTCTCCAAGTTTATTCTCACCATGTTAACCCATGTTTTTACTTTCAGTCTCTTGTGCAACAACTAGGAATGTTTGGCAAGAAAGAGGAGAGCAGGTGTTGTGAAAATATGGGTATTGTTATCTCTGATAACTGCAAGTGAATAAAAACAGTGGGGAGGGACAAAGTAGAGGATGGAGGCGGTATCTGACAGCAGATGCCAACCCCAGGCCTGAGCTGGTAATATCTAACGCACACATGCGGTACAACAGCCATGCCAAGAGAAGTTTCCACTGGTGGGAGCCCTTTGGATAGCAGGTCAGCCCAGCACGGCATTTTTAAACTGAACCCAAGATTTCATTCTCCTTCTTGGGGCCTCAAGCAGAAAAGGCAAAAAAATGCAAAACAATGGTTTTGTTAGACAGATGCTCAACTGACAAGACAACACAAACTGGTCTTTAGACCAGTTTCCTATCTGCTCACCACCCTTCATTATCCCTGGCAACTCACTTAGAAATCACTGAGGCTCCAATTGAAGAACCTCCTTCAGCTCAGGCACGTAACTACTGTTTTGATTTCTAAATACGAATGAGCTATTTAAATATGGTGAGTTGGCTATTTCCATCTAGTCTGTTGTCTGTCTTTGCATTATTGTACCTAAATGCCGTCACTCTTTTTTATAGAGAAAAATGTTAATTTTTTTTTTGCCTTTCGTTTTAAAAAATTATTTCTTTCTCAGCTGTTGACATCTTTCTCCATTGGAAGCAAGGTATTAAATTAGTTATTTGAGTAACTCTAGATACAATCAAAGAGATTAATGGAGACAAACCAAAGGCAACATTTACCCAAGAACATCATCAACTTTCTCACTTCTTCTTCATCCCGCTGAAAATGAAATGTCTGATAATTTCGAATAGCATCTATGTTTCTACTCCGCCCTTCCTGCCGCACATGGCATCCTTGCTAGGGTATTTAGAAAAGAGTCTGCTGCTTTGCCTACGAACTCAGGAGAGGAAGAGGGATTTAACTGCTTTACTTCTCCCTCAGTCTTTTGCTGTTATGAATTAAGGCCTAGAAATTCTCACACAGCATTAGCTTAACTGGTTTTCCAGGGCGGGAAGGTATCCCTTTTTGCAGATCCCCGTTTTCCTGCTTACACAATTAAATAGTAAGACAGACGCATCTCCCCAATTTTAAACAGGAAATCTTTACTACCAAGCCATCACAAACATCCCGTGCTGGTGAGCTTGGTTTTTTGTGCCAACTGCAATTCTTGCACGAACAGCAGACTGCTTATTTTGCTGAAGCCAGACCCGAGGACGGCGCATCTCGGCGCTGAGCGAACTGTCACTTGGGAAACCCCAAAGCATAACCTGAGCGTGAACCAACTCCAGCGTTAACCGCTCCCACTTCCAGCCACGGAACGCAGCACCCCTTTCCCGCTGCCCGGCTCTCTGCAGCAAACCAAGGCTCGCCATCCCGTAACTCTGGCAGTCCCTCCCCGGCAGGGCAACCACCGCCCCGGTCTTGCGTGGAGGTGCCCGTGGATGGATGGCACACACCTCTCCTTGCCCAAAGCCCCGCCGGGAGGAGCTGGCTGAGGGGGCAGAGAGCCGCACGGCCACGGGTGGAAGACTCTGCAGCAAACGAGAGTGAGAATTTCAAAAAAAAACCAAACAACAAAAAATAAAACAAAAAAGCCCCACAAACAACCCAAAATTCTGCT